AGAGCCGAAAAATAACAGTAATCAATTCTTAAGAGATTTTATTTAAATTATACTAATCCACTTGATTTAAACACACATGTCATATTGGAAATTACATTAAAGATTCACTACTTCAAACATCATTCATTGTTTGGGCTGAAAATATGGGCCACAGCCCATAGATCTTAAATTTGGGCCTTATACGAATCCGGGTCATGTATAGTCGGCGACAAGGTTCATCTACTTTAGAATCTCAAGCTCCCGCTTCTCTGCAAAAATCCCTCGTCGACGGTAATCATCCTAGCAGACAGAAATTTCCGGCCGTTTTTGAACAGAGAGGGATTTGTTTGGGCACTCCATTGTTTAATCAGGTAAATATCTTTTCGTTTGCTTCCTGTAATATGGAATTGAGTATTATTTTTTGGTGCGTTAAGGTTGTTTAGGTTGTTTGTGTTCAAATAAACACATTTAATGTTGTACATCTGTTGGCTTCTTTTTTTTTGGGCGGACTAGTATTTAACTTAATTTTCCTGTCTTTTCTCGTTTGAGATGAGATGAGATGAAATGACACGGAACCAAATTATCAGCATATTATTGGGCTTTCTTGCTTTAATAAGTTGAGGTAAAAGTAGTTTTCTGGATTGCAATTGCTTGAATGACAAGTGAAGTGGTTAGCATTTCATAGGGTTTGCCTTAGGCAAAAAAAAATTGAGGATAGAAACCTTTATTTGGGGTTCTTTTTAGCTGAATGATTGTTTTTTTCTTTTTTCTTTTTCCAATATGGAATCTGCTGCAACTTGCAGAAATAGAAATGTTAGGCATCACACCGATATTGCCCCTTCCGGCACCCCCGTTGGATGGGAATCTGGGACCAACACCTCTAGCTCAGGTGGTAGAGGAACCAAATGATGTTAAGATGGAAGAGAATGAAGAGGAAAACAATAAGGACAAGGTTCCAGCATCTGTTGCAACACATACGAGAACTATTGGTATCATTTATCCCCCTCCTGATATTAGGAGTATTGTTGACAAGACTTCACAGTTTGTGGCGAAGAATGGTCCGGAATTTGAGAAGAGGATTGTTCTAAATAACGCTGGCAATGCAAAATTCAACTTCCTGAATGCTTCTGATCCTTACCATGCCTATTATCAGCACCGTTTGGCTGAAGCTCGCGCACAGAATCAGGGTTCTGGAGAGCAGCCTACTCAGCCAGAAGACAAAGAAGCAACCCCTGCTCCTACCGCTGATGATGCTGAGGCAACTGCAAAACCTGACCCATCAGCTCAATTTAGACCTGTCAGAAAGGTTCTTGAGCCACCTGAGGCAGAGCAATATACTGTTCGACTCCCTGAAGGGATCACAGGTGAAGAAATGGATATCATAAAGCTGACATCACAATTTGTGGCCAGAAATGGGAAGTCTTTCTTAACAGGGTTGACAAGCAGGGAGATAAATAATCCCCAATTTCATTTTCTAAAGCCTACTCACAGCATGTTCATGTTTTTCACTTCACTTGCGGATGCGTATTCGAAAGTTCTGATGCCTCCTAAGGGCTTGACGAATAAGCTGCAGAAGAGTGCTGCTGACATGACAACAGTCCTAGAGCGTTGTCTGCATCGGTTGGAATGGGAAAGATCACAGGAGCAGGCTAGACAGAAAGCTGAAGATGAGATAGAACAGGAGAGGGTGCAGATGGCTATGATTGATTGGCATGATTTTGTTGTTGTTGAGACGATAGATTTTGCTGATGATGAGGATCAGGATTTACCTCCACCTATGACGCTTGAGGAGGTTATAAGGAGGAGCAAGATGCCTACATTGGAGGAAGAGGAATATGTTGAGCCTGGAAAGGAGGTGGAAATGGAGATGGATGAAGAAGAGGTGCAGCTTGTTGAAGAAGGTATGCGAGCTGCGACTCTTGAAGAGAATGGTGGTGTCAAGAGTGCTGAAACCATGGCAATTTCAGGAGAAAATGATCCACCAATGCGGATTGTGAAGAACTGGAAGAGGCCTGAAGAGAGAATCCTGGCAGAAAGGGACCCAACTAAGTATGTTGTCTCTCCTATAACTGGTGAGTTAATACCTATTAGTGAGATGTCTGAACATATGAGGATCTCTCTCATTGATCCGAAGTACAAGGAACAGAAGGACAGGATGTTTGCGAAGATTAAGGAAACGACTCTTGCTCAAGATGATGAGATCTCTAGGAACATTGTTGGGCTTGCACGAACTCGTCCAGATATATTTGGTACTACGGAAGAAGAAGTTTCAAATGCGGTCAAGGCTGAGATTGAGAAAAAAATAGAAGAGCCGAAGCAGGTCATATGGGATGGTCACACAGGTAGCATTGGCCGCACTGCAAGCCAGGCAATGTCTCAGAACAGTGGAGAGGATCAGAATGATGCTGCAAATGATGTAAGAAACCTTCCTGGTCCACAGGTTCCTCCACCTCCTAGACCCGGTCTTCCTTCTGTTAGGCCACTACCTCCACCTCCTGGGCTTGCGCTGAATATTCCTAGGCCTCCTAATACATTCCAGTATTCCACACCTACCATAGCTGGTGCTGCTCCGCCTCCACCTCAACCTCCTATGGTTAACATGATTCCTCAGGTTCGGCCCCCACCTCCTCCCATGCTACAACTACAAGGTCAGCAAAACCTCATGGTCAATCGTCCCCCAATGCCTCCATCAATGGCTATGAGTTCGCATACCCTTACTATTCCACCACCTCCTGGATCACAGTTTACACCTATGGGAGCACCTCGGCCCTTTGTTCCCCACCCGATGTCCCAGCCGGGAATGTCTATGGTCCCGCCTCCTCCTATGCCCCAAGGAATGCCACCACCTCCTCCACCAGAAGAAGCTCCTCCTCTCCCTGAAGAGCCAGAGCCGAAGAGGCAAAAGCTTGACGAGTCTGTTCTCATTCCTGAAGACCAGTTTTTGGCTCAGCATTCGGTGAGGATAGCTTTAAAAGAACACTTTTACATAATTGTCTGTTTCATGTTCTCTTACATCCATGGAAATTTTATTTCCTGCTGGGTTATATTGCAGGGACCTGCAAGGATCAATGTATCTGTGCCGAATACTGATGAAGGGAATCTCAAAGGACAAGTTCTGGAAATCACTGTGCAATCTCTGACCGAAACCATTGCAAGTCTGAAAGAGAAGATTTCTGGGGAGATCCAGCTTCCTGCGAACAAACAAAAGCTGAGTGGAAAGGCTGGTTTTCTCAAGGACAACTTGTCTCTTGCATACTATAATGTTGCTTCTGGAGAAACACTCGGCCTCTCTCTGAGAGAACGTGGTGGGAGAAAGAGATGAATGAGGATTTATTTGACATGGCTTTCCAAGGTTTATTTTGCAACTATTTGGCATACTAATCCTTGTTATGAATTTAAAGAACTCTCCTTTCTTCTTTCATGTTATTTTGGAGATTATACTGGTCTTGTACTTCTAGATTTTCTTTCTGCAATTTAATCAATTTTATCTTTCTGATGGTTGTGGGTATCTACTACAGATTTTGGCATGTTGGCGATCATCGATGATGACAACAGGAAGCTTACTAGTTCTATTCCTTTAAGATGCAATGACTGTAGGTTATGTTCTACTAATTTGTGTGTCTTAACATGTGCAGTTGCTCCACCCTCTAACTAGAGCCCAGTTGTTATTTTGTTGTATCTTTTGAGTCCAAGGCCATTTTGGGATTAGAACTTTTCTGATGTCAAACATTCCTTACAATTTTAGAGGCTTTCCTTGGCAATTAATATTTCAAACTCTTCTGTGGATTTAGGACCTATTTCTGTAGAAGATGTGTGTGTCGTGTTTGGCGATGCTTGTCCCAAGCACACCTGCCTCATATGTGGTGCGTTTTTGGGGCACTTGAGCCCCTTTGTGCAAGTCCTATGTAGCTTCATTCTTTTCATTTGCTTTTGTGTAGTCTGCTATCTGGAGAAAGTGGCTAAGGTTTCTCTGATGCCTTTATTTTATCAACACAGCTTTACCCCTGTTAGAGGCTGTGATGGTTGTATTATGAGGTTCTATCTTGGTAGCAAAAGCAGGTATTGTTTTTGCTCTTTTTATTGGTGTGTACGGTTTATTTTTTGATGAGAAGCTGTTGGCAGACATCAAAGATTCTACACTTGCCCTTTTGCAGTTTGTCCGTGCTTTTGGAGGAGGTTGCAGATTGATGATTGATAAATGATTCATATGTGATCTTTGGGAATGCCAGATAATGTGCCGCCAGTAGTTTTTATTTGTTAATGGGAGTTGGTTTGTTAGCTTATATATGCTTTGTGTGTTTGTCCTGTTTGTATCTTGATCCACCCCATTTTTATGGGGTCCAATTATCTTAACTGCACTTTCAACTGATGATGACAGAACTAGTGACATTTCACAGCTAGGAATGTGATCGACATACTTTTTAAGAAACTGCTTTCTATGGGATCATGTTCTGGCCATGTATTTCTATCTTTGCAGCTTTCCCTTAATAAGCAGAAGTTAGTTTTTTGCACATCTATATAAGTGATGGGTCGCAGCTTCATGTTTGTATAGCCAACTTGTGCTTGTAGTAGAGTGCTACCTTCTTCCAATTATTTGATTATGTATGAGCCTAGTGAGAAGGGATTAGAGGGGTCGTAAAAGTAGAAGAGGAGAGGTGAAGTATGTACTTCATTTGGGTGATAGGTCGTATTTTGAGTGATGCCTTTACTTATAACTAGTGTGAGGGTTTTAACATGTAGTCATTATGTCTCAAACAAGTATTAACTAAAAATCTTTTTCAATATTCATGACATTAAAAATTCGAATAAAGCAAGAATGCCACTGTATGTGAAAATACTCTTACAAGTACAATTCATTCTTTACTGAAATTAATTGATTCTAAATCGAGTGAAATTGACGCAAAAGATCCCCATCTTTAGCCAAGTTATTAATTATAATCAAGAAGAATTTCGCAATGCATGCCACGTGTTTATAATTTATAGTTCATTTTTTTACTTGATCATAATTAATTAACATGAGATACGTAACAATGAAAATTGCAATTGATTTAAGAAGGATGCAATTGCTGAATAATGTAAAAGGCCATGGGTTGCCTTCGCAAGTATATTTTGTTCTATATGTCCTTTTAACACAAGTGAACCCTGCATTTACATCTCAAAACTCTATTATACACAAATGGGAAAAGCCAGGTCTTTATGGACTAGAGAGTTGGCAAACCAGCATCAAGTATCTGGTTTTCCTCTAAATATGACTCTGTTCTTCATCTCCTTCAATATCCATAAGTCGAAAAGTATCCAAGAGAAGGATGGGAAATCATACATTAGCTCCCAGAAATACTCATCATACCGAGCTCTGTTGTAGAGGTTCAGCTTCATGATGGACAACCTGATTCTGATTGTGGTTGTCGAGAGGCATGTACTGCGACATGATGGCCATAATCTCTGAGTCCATGTATGACTATAAAAATTTACCAATAGTTAGCATAATGGTTGTTGTAGCGTAAGTATGACTCTTAAGATTGTAATAACTACTCGATATGCTTACCCGAAGTCTATACTTGTAAAAGGTGTAACCAGCTAAACCAGCCCCCACTGCAATGGCTAGGAAAGAGAACATAAGGACCCGTCCGATCTTTGATGAGTGTCTTTCTGTACATTTAAGAAACAAAGGTAATATTGTAAGTTCATCTTGTTATGTCATGATATATTATTATCGTGAAAACGATGCTTTGCATCTTAGCAAAATGCAAGTTTTTATCGGAGGCAGTAGTTTATGGTTAACTTTAGAAGTTGAAGCTCTGGTAGATTAAAAGATAAACAACATTTGTTTTTAGTGCTGAATCAACTTTTTCTTACCTATACAAGTATCATGCTCCATTATGTAGAGTTGATTTCCTTTGCACTTACACTCGAATCCACCCCATGTGTCCTTACAGCTGCAGCCATCACACTGACAAACAAGTCCTTCCTTGCATTCATCTACATCTGATTTTTTGTTGTTGAAAGGAACGACGTTTGAATCAGCACTTAACAAACACGAGAAAATTTTAGTGTCACGAAAGGATCTACAAGAATGTTACATACCTTCACATTTATGGCCATCCCCTTTAAAACCATACGGACACTTACAGCCTGATAGTTCACCCTCCTGCTTTGCGTTAAACCAGATTTTAGCACATACAATGGTTTAATCTTGACTAAACACAGTTAAAGAAAGTATTGGTTTTACTGAACTGAACATGCTGAATATGTTTGCCCATTTCTGGTTTCTGACCAGCATCCTCCGTTGTTTACCGAACACCTTCCAGGTCCAACGGCTGTCAATCGATTGCAAGCCAGTTAGAGGGGAAAAAATATTTAAGTCATCCAATTCTCAAGAGTGACAAGCAATTCGATAGGCCAATTGTCAATTAATGGACGTATAACTAAAGAACAAGAAGCAACACTTCCTTACCTTCACAAGATGTGTATCCATCTCCTTTATACTGAACGCCGTTCACCAAAGGGCACTCACAAACTCTTCCTCTATATGTATCCTTTAGAACAACACAAGCACGAGGTTCATGTAAAAGGTTGTTATATATACCACAATAGTTTTCCACGAAGGAAGATGATAACTTCATAGAGGTTTCAAAGAGCATTATTGTCCATACCTTGCAGGCAGTTATGTTAGATTTAGGATCCCGCCAACAGCCACCGTTCCTTTCTAGGCACTGGTTTGTTTCAAGATCTATTGTTCATTGAGCATATAAGCAACAATTAGCTAACTCTTTCAATTTTATGCAATAACTCTGGTAGTCAAGATCCTGAAGAAAGGAATGGTGTCAAACCTCCACTTAAACATATCGAAGGTTCAGTTGTTTCCTTAAAACCAGCACATATGGCTTTTAAAACAGCAGTCCTCTCCAATTTCCCTTAAAGAAACAGTAAAAAAGAACTTGAGTACTCAAAGAGTGATCCGAGGAGAATATTATATCCCCCTGAAGATTTATCAATAAGAAAGCTACAAATATAAGCAATTAGTTAGTTTATGTTGAACTTATTTTTCTACGTCTACATCATACCTCGATATTGAATATCATTGATGACCATTGTTGGTAAGATTGTCACATCTCCACGAGGTCCTCGGCCAACCTTTTAAGGGAAACAAAAGAAGAAGTTATGTTTATATGTAATATATTCATGATAACATAGATATTTATATCTGTAAAATCACAAAATGGTCAATTATGTCACAAATTATGAAATGATTAGAGATTTTCAGAAATGAAGATACCTGGAGGTCTTGCTCAGTCTTCAACACATCATTTTCAACATTAGCCTCTGGATCGCCCATGCATTTCTTTATCTTGTCAACCGGTAGATCTGATGAAACAAATAAAAACTCAAAGAGTAACTACTGAGAACAGTATATATTATCAATAATGACCAAAAAAAATAGAACTCGAAAGGGAGATACCAAGTGATTTCATGACCTCCTCAGCACATTCTTTGCTGTATCGCTTTTGCTTCATTGAACATCTAATATGAAAATCCGTCACATAGTCCCACCAAACCCAAGAACGGCTACTCTCATTTGCAACTCTATGCACGCAAAGCTGCCTCAAGTTCTCAAAGACAACATCCTTCCCTTGGTACCCCTCCCCAAAGTCCTGCTCCGGATCAGGAGCGCAATATCTCCCGTGATTAATGCACTGAGATTTGCACTGGCTGCTAAGAATGAAAGCTTCAGGACAGTACCAAGTAATATAATGAGGCGTGAACATAGTATAACCGCCCTTCTCAAGTATTTGAGCATGTCCTTTGAAGTTCTTGATGAAATTCATCTGCTCATCACAACGAACCCCACACTCATCGTTGCTATTAGTCCACAATTCATACTCAACTCGCTGATCAGGATGAGGCATTGACTCCGTCCAATCCATTTTGATCACAACTTCCTCTCCCTTCTTAAGAGCTTCTTTCAATGCGTCACCAAACGACTTTTCAATCAATGCTGACGGGATACCAATCTTCTCGATGTATCCATTGGCATCCGTACTTTCTTCAGGAGAATCCATAGTTATAAGAGCCTCATCTATACTATCAGCAACTAGTACTGCAGCTGCTCCAGCTTGTTGCCCATTCCATACCTTCAAAGCAAAATAGCAGTCTGGAAAAAAAAAATTGTTTTACATATTTATCATAAACTTATAACTTCATCTAATACGTCAAACATTCCAGTAAAATTCTGCATAGAAAAACGAATATCCGTATAGTTGATAGTGGCTACTCAACTAAAGAAATAGATTCCGAAACTCCCTTCAACTCCAAGAAACAGTAAAATAACTCATAAGTCTCTAACACTTCACTTAGAAGCAAAACCTAAAAGAAGTGTAAGTTTCTCCAACTTAATTAGAAATAGAATTTAGCTCCTTTTTAATCCAATAGATACTCAAACATCAGCAATAACCTCTAAGATTTAGAATTTAAACTCTATATATGTAATCAAGAAAAAATTAATTACTAATACTTGTTATTAATATCACAAACTCATAAACTTTAAATTATTCCGTTTCTCGAGCTATGGGAAATGAAGAAACCTCTAGCAGAGTGATTAGATACAGAGACAACATTACATCAAATCAAAAATCAAAAACTTCAAATCAACCAAAAATTTGATCTTTTAATTTTTCGAAATTAAAATAAAAATTACCTCCACGATCAAGAAGAAGGATATTAGGACGATGACCCTTAGATTTGAAGGGTTTATCACCATCAAATTCAGCGCAGCCATTAGCACCTTTACTAGGATAAACAACAGTTCCAACTAAAGAACCACCATAATCAGGGACACCAAAATTACCAATAGAGGCATCATGCTTCGAGTGCATTGAATAAGGAGACAGAACACTTATACTGTTCTTCTCAACTATAAACCTTGCCTGAACTAGCACAACATTCGATACTATCAAGGAAAAAAACAGAAGTCGAAAAAACAGAGCAGCCATGTTTGCAGGAGAGTGTAAAGGTACAAGCATATTTAGTATTGGTACAATTTGTAATGTTTGGGGTTTCAAAAAGTTTGTAAGAGGTGTAAAGAGGAGAAAGAAACAGATGGATTACATAAGGGGCCAAAAATCAAGAAAGTGTCAAGAGAAGACTCTGTGAACAGAGGAGACTTTTTGGAGTTTTTGTGTGTAATCTTCTTCTTCTTGAATTGTTTACTTCTTTGTATGACGTAGAAGAAACGAAAGAGGGGGTGGGGTGGGTGGTGGGGTGAGAGGGGTGGGTGGGTGGAAGGTGGTGGAAGGAGTCAGAGCAACTACCAAAGATGGCAACTGCTGAATTTCCTAACTAATATTTAAACATATTTATATATTTTGATTTATTGTGATTCTCGGGGAAGAGAAAAATATTAGTCACCGCTTCGTTTCAAAATAATTGTCATAAGTTTCATATTTTTAGGTATTAATATATTAAAAAAAGATTAAATCTATAATAGTATCTTTTTCTTGATTTTAAATATCTAAATTTTAGTTTTAAAATATTAATTTTATTTAACTTTCAAAACGAATTAAATTATTTTTCAAAAATATAATAACTATTTTAAAATGGAGGTATTACTCATGCTTGATTCTGATTCACGGTGACACTTTTCACTTAAAATTCAAATATTGTGAAATGGGGATAGAACTGTCGTTTGAGCTCAGTTTTAAATTGCTCCCAATTCTCAATATGACACTTCATATTCCTAGTTTGACGAGTGAGGACTTGCTGTTCTATTTCCTTGATGGCCTTCAAAATTGGGCCAAGCAGGAGCAGCAAAGGCGTCAAGTGCATGACTTTGATGAGGCGATCGTAGTGACGGATTCACTCAACGACTTCCGTGGTGATGCTACCAAGGGGAGGGATAACAGGAGCAGAACTATTCCTCCCAAAGTTGACAACAACAACAGGGGCCGTAGCAGACCAAATACCAACCGGAGCAATGACACGAGAAGCAACCCTCGTGATCAGCCTTCAAACTTCCGGAAAAATTATGAAGACCGCAAGAGGGGTGCTCCTCAGCGGGAAGGCTGTTATATCTGTGGAGAGACGACACATGCCGCTCGGTACTGTCCGTCGTTGAGGAAGCTTAGCGCCATGGTGGCTGCCGAGAAGCAGCAAGAGAAGGCTGCAGCGCAAGCAAGCAGTTCTGCCGGTGAGAAACGTGGGCAGAGTAGCGGAGCTGACAAAGGCAAGAACGTGGCCGTAGGGATGTTCAACCATATGGCGCTGATCAGCCACATCTCCATTGCTGCCTTGGCTGCCAAACCAGCTGGAGTCAGGCCTCGTGAGTCATTGTTCGTCAATGCCAAACTGAACGACAAAGACGTGCGGATCATGGTAGACACAGGGGCAACCCACAACTTTGTGACTGAGCAAAAGGCCAAGGAGTTGGGCCTAAATTATGTTGCCAGTAATACCAAGTTGAAGACCGTTAACACCACTCCTACTACTGTCAATGGTTTTGCGGCTGCAGTTCCAATTGAGTTAGGAGAATGGGCCGGGCAGACTGATTTTACAATTGCGCCAATGGATGTTTTTTATATCATTTTAGGACTTGACTTTTGGTATGAAGTCAATGCCTTCATCTCACCGCGTCATAACCAGCTACATATTAGCGACGTTGGAGGGTCTTGCGTGGTACCCCTTATTCGGGTACCACAAACTGGAATGCATTTGTCAGCAATACAGATCATCAAGGGGTTCAAAAGAGGCGAGCCAACTGTAACGATTCAAAAAAAAAAGAGAATTATGTAAATAAGAATAAATAGGTATTTAAGGGCATAATTGTCCTTTCACGTTTTAAATGAATAAATAAATAAATAAATAAAACAGATTTGTATTTATTTATTTTAATGTTATTTGACTAATTCTTGAATTAGTCTCCTAATCCAATTAGCCCTCTCTCTCTCACGCTTCTAAACTCCCTCTCTCACGTTCTCCATCTTCCTCACATTATTTCTGCCAAAATATCAATAATTTTCATGCTTGAAGAACTCACAAAAAAAAAAAATTTTAAGCAAAAGAAAAAGTAATCAAAACGTCAAGGCTAAGAGAGGTATACTTTGAAGTGAATTGGGAGTGGTTTGGAGGAGTTTTCCGGGCAGCAACATTAAAGTTTGAACATCGATTAAGGTATGAGTTTCTCTCATGGAATTCTTTCTCCAAGAGTAATTTCTTTCGGACGTTTCTTAAACTCTTGAAACTAAGGTTGTTCCCCTTCGTATGTCCTTGTCCTTAGCTCCCTAATGAATTTGTAGGATGGGTATGTTGTGCTGCTAGATTTTTGCATGAATGATGTGTTTAAATTAAATATGAATGTGTTTATGTGCGGGAAATCGCGATAATGATCATCAAAATATGACCGGAAAAAGTTGATGTATGGGTGTGTATAGGGCAGTGTTTTAGGCATTGTTTTGGGGTATATAAGTTGTTTATTTATTATGTGTTATATGTTATGTGTTATATGAATATGTTATGTTTTGTGTGCTATACGATAATTATAATGATGCATGTCACTCTCATGGCATAACTTTCCCAATCTCAATTTGGCAAGTCCTTGACTTCCAAAAATCATGTTGTTAGGAAAGAGCTATTCTTCCTCATGCATGTCCCTGGTGTGTACTTGCATATACTCATACTTAGTACAAGTGTGTACTAATTCCATACGAACATCTACTTTTAGGTGCAGGCACAGGTGGACGCTAGAGCTACAGGTTCGTTGTTGCAGCTATCCGGACATCAGTATTCATCCGGAGTTTGGTTTATTGTCATTCTCGGGGAAGAGGAAAATATTAGTCACCGCTTCGTTCCAAAATAATTGTCATAAGTTTCATATTTTTAGGTATTAATATATTAAAGAAAGATTAAATCTATAATACTATCTTTTAAATATCTAAATTTTAGTTTTAAAATATTAATTTTATTTAACTTTCAAAATGAATTAAATTATTTTTCAAAAATCTAATAACTATTTCAAAATGAAGGTATTACTCATGCTTGATTCTGATTCACGGTGACACTTTTCACTTAAAATTCAAATATTGGGAAATTTAATAAAAAAAATTTTTTTTTTACTTCATAGGATAGCGCAAGAGCATGCATTTATCTATGTTGCTATTTATACTTCTTTCAACAATTTTATCATTAGAGAGTACCTTATATAATTTTTTGAAGTATTTTATCCTTTTGAAAGTAAAGTTCTAGCTTTTAATTGTCGTTAGTAAAATAAATGTAATATATACATGAATTGCCAAACAGGATTACCATTTTGGAAGAAAAAAAGGATAATTATGAATTAGAAAATCTTGGACTTGGTTTTATTAGTCAAATTAATATAAATTTTCCTTCGATCTATGAGTAAATGTAAAGTTATAAATATAACCTTTTCATTTCTTCAATCTTAAGATGACAGGTTTCTTTGCTTAGATAGTTTCCCAAATCAGAGCAGCACTTATAATCACCAAATCTTATATTAACCTTAAATATTTTAAAAATTTAGTGGGCTAAAATTGTTTTTTTTTAAAATAAATAAATCCAAGTACTTAATGAGCGTTATTTTAGAGTATTATTAATTGAGTATTTCGTTTTTAATATTATAAATAAGAAGCTAATTTTTCGTTTCTAGTTTTAATAAGCTTGTGAATTCTGCAATGTGCATCTTTGATTTTTACAAAATAGATTCTGCCCTAAATTTGGTTCTATTTTAATTGATCTTTTCATTAGTTTCTGTTTTTTTTGTTTTTCTTGGAGAAATAAATGGAACTACATTAAAATCTCTGAATACTTAATTTAAAATAAATTAAAGGGTACGGTATTATTTTATTTTAGGTCAATAAGCTAAGCATTAATAAATGTGCACCTTGAACTAACACAATTATAAAAATAAAGAAAATCCTAATATTTCGTTATTTATAAACAAATGACTGTTAGCATTGTTAGTGAAACTTGCATATTATTGTATTGTTTTTTGTAACTTATGCGATTAATGATGAATGGGTTATATTTTTTTATTCCAAATAGGTAATAAACATAGTATATATATATATATATATAATATATATATATATATATATATATATATATTAATAGAGTGGCATATTTGATTTAAGTTTTTTTATTATGATAGTTGACTAAGATTCTGTGGAATTAAAAACACAATTTTAAAATATTAAATATAATAATTAAAAAACTTATTTGACTGACTATATAGAAATAGCGACCTCTCAACCCCTCTAAGAAGCTAAGATTAAAACAAGATGATTCAATTCAAATAAATATTAAAGTTAAAAAAGATGTAGGTATATATAATCTGAAATTCTCATTAAATAAAAATAAAACAATTTATCATTAAGGGTTAACAATTAGTTGAACATGTAATTCTTTATAATTGGGTGTTAGATTCAAAATCTTTAATTATATGATTCAAGATCGTTACTAGAAATTTGTGTAGCGTAATTTACTTTTCATGTGCAATTAACATGCTATTTCTCACTAGAATGAAATTTACCTTATACACACCCGAATATATATATATATATATATATATATATATATATATATATATTTGTGTGTATAATAATCCGGGGGGATTTTCTTTGTTTTGTTTTCGTGCAAAATGATCATATTAGGGAAATTTCACCAGCTTTTTCTACCAAAAATCCAATTACAATAAACTAGTTCTAGCCTCTAAATACTATATACTACTTTAAGACAAAAAGAAAAAAGTACATTTAAATTTTTGTGGAGATCAAAAAGTGAATTAGGGAATAATTTTTTTTTTTCGATTACTAGAAAGTTTGGCAAGCAGAGTTATTTGATATATGTGTTAATCTTTGATCGAAAATAGTAGGCAACTGAGTAAAAAATTCATATACTCAAGCGAAAATCAAATCATACTAATATATCATGGTTAAGTCATAAATATTTAAAATAATACTATATTTTGTGATAAATAATCATTAAATACAATTTAGCGATAAACATTATATAAAAATATGTATGATTTGTGTATCATTGATTGATATATATATTGAATTCGAATAAACTTTTATACAGACATCCAATGAGTTAATTAAATATACACCTTAAACTCACGATAATTAAGAAAATGCAATTATGTGATTTTATATATAGACCCTCGATGCATGGACTCTAAACCCTTCCAACAAGATGAGAAAAATAATTCTACTAATCAA